TTAAACTGAAAGGGACAAATTAAATCGTGCAACAGACGGCGTTAAGAATCAGTGAGCAGGAACTAAACAGCTCTAACTCACATTTATCCTTCTGAATTCTTAGCTTATCATTCATTGCCTACGCTATGAAAAGAACCTAATCGGGTTTTTCTCACATTGTTGCCGAAAGTTTAAACTCTGGACATATATTAGTGACATCAAATATAACGTCCACGAGAAGGACATTTGGCATTCGTCCACCTTGTCCATAGTGAATGTTTTCGCAAGCTGCGCGAGATTATATAGTGAGAACTTCGTTTTCTAAATTTTGTCGGTCTCATCGAAATTTACAGGTAAAATTCCAGAATGCGACACTTTCTCGGTGAAATTATGCAGATGGATTGACAGCGTTATCTATAACAGTGCAAGGATTACATGATGAGGAACCATGAACTTCCATGTCCATGAATTTAAATAAAGGATGATGTGTAAGTCTATCCAGAACTAAAAAAAAGCTAGTATAAGAATCTATTTTTTATTGAACAATCCTTATGTCTAGTATTTATCGAAAAGTTTACCGACAGAATGATCAGTGCGACTAGAGTTAAAGTGAATTAAATATTGACCAATGACCTTGAAATTAATTCAAGCTCATTTAAACAATTCGCATTGCAACCGGTTTTGGATTGCGCAGAAACAGGACGCAGAATCTAGTCACAAGCATTTACTTGCAGGCACAGCGTGCACACAAGTGGCAACGACTATCAACACGAAAAATCATAGTCATATCTACATAGGAATCTCTTCATTACAACGATGACTGATCATTTTATGTGCCTGAAGATTCCTTGTTGATCCGCCGGGACTGCATTGAGCGGGATCCGCATTCACCTGCTCACTGTACTTCCGATACGACGAGTGCGCCTTTATCTTACACCGTGTGGAAGGCGACTGCTCTTCCTTTAGTTTTGCCCAAGTTTCCAGTCATTTGTGAAAGGCGGGACCACTTGCCTTTTTTGATCATCACGTCTAACTTGACGTGCCGGGGGAGGGGGGATCAGCGTTCAACTGCCTGCGCTTCGCTACAGTCAGTCATCGCTTACCGTTGCAATATGGCATTTTAATTTCTAATGCATGGGAAGGCGAACTGTTTTTCACTGGCAACAATGTCATTCCTAAGTTTGTAATTGCCGAGAAGCAGCAATTGAAAGTCTGTTCGGTCGTTTCTTAGGAAAACTGTTTCTCATATTGAATTTCCATAATTTATTTGTTACTTTAAATTAACAGTATTTATGCACATATACATTTTGTCTTTGAATAATACAAATCATAATGAACATCATTTTTATTTCAAAATCCATGTAATAATTCATTCTCTTTAAAAGGAGGTGCTGTATTCGGCAATTCGATTCAAAACTCGGAACCTCTTCTCCAGGTTTACGGCAGATGTGAAACTGTTTATATTTATCTTTTTAAAACATCTTATGTTTGCTTGAATTAAAGTAAAGTTTGGATTTTTTAGCAGCTTCTTGTCAGATAGTGTGATGATTTAGCATGATTTTTTCCCATTTTATGGTACAACGTAATAGCTAAGAGACTCTTTTGTTTAACTTGCTGATCATCCAAAATTTGCCGGCTTTTGTACAATTCTTAAAGAACAAATCTCGTAACTTCAGAGCTAGTCCTTGCTTTGATATTCGACGTATGTTTTATCAGTGGTTTTTCAAACGATTGAATGCTAACTAGCAGAGTGAATTTTATGCTTGTGTTTTTTGTTTACTTTCTGGGACAGAACTGCAGAAATATGTTTCTTTTAAATTTGATGCTTATGAAAGTAAGCGGAAGTTGAAATATTAGTTTAAGAAGTGAATAACAGAAATGTTGATTCAGAAATATTCCAGCGCCCGAAGCAGTAAAATGGTAGCTAATTTGTGGTGTATCTGTTGTGATGCAGATCGTCCAAGCAAATGTTGCTACGGTCTTCGACAGATTGTCACGTATGTAATCATTTATCTGGATTGTTCTAGTATATTTATTAAGTTATGTAATGTGCATAAATTTTTCATTAATCCGCTTTAGCAAGATATTGATCGTATTTCTTCGGAAAGTAAATACTTTTTGCATACTGCAGCAGAAAGTTTTTAGGAAAGTATTCACGACTATTCAAAAAAAGTAGTAGTTGATCCGCATGGGAGCACAGAGGTCCTTTACATCACCACCGATTGTTGTGCTCCACGTGCAGAGGTTATATCCTTCCAATTAAATAGGATGATAATAAATTATGATAATATTAATCATATTTAAGCGAGGTCATCTGCTTGCTTATTTAAAATGGCTAGAAAATCCTTCAAGAAGTAGTCCAGAACGGTACTTAGAAATGCGTATTGCAGCATGTGCTGGCGGCGTGTTATTCTTATAACAGTTATGTTGCGCAAGTTACGAAGCAGCTTCTCCGTGTTTGTCTTACCCATCATTAATTATTTCTTCATATTTGTTTTTCCTCATTTTGTTTTCATAATCTCTTTTTCCTCCCTTCCATTTTCCTCTCCACTGTCCTCCTGTTATTTTTCTTTTTTCTTCTACTGATTAGTTTTTTTCTTATTTCTTGTCAGTTTTCTTCGTATCTTCATCTCTTCTGAAAACCTGTAATTTTTTTAGAATGATGCTTGAAAACGCTTTTTCAGGGTTCTAGTCCTGAACCAAATGTGCAAGCTTGATAAGCTAGTTTCCAGTATGTAAACGATGGATTATTGGATACTCGGTAGAACTGAGGCATCTACTATGCAGTCTGCTGCTAGGCTATATTTTCTGTGGCTTTGTAGCATCCGCCTTTCATGTGGCAACCATCGAAATTGTCATCTGTTTATCTTAAGAAGGAACGGTGCACAATCAGGAGTAGCTCAGGCTGCTGTTGTTAAGCTTTTGTCGGGCCGTATCAGTGGTCCGTCCAAGATACCTCACTTCTGATGTTTGTTCCCAAAATTGCACTTTTCATTGACCAGCACTGCGGGAGAAGACAATAACCATCACTGATGCCCCTGTTACACATTATGAAAGTATGTAAAATCTTTACAGTGTAATGAGTGTTACCTGGCGGCTGAACGTTGACTCAATGATTTTTGCTTTTAATCACCTCCAATCTTGCGATAAAAGAAGCAGGATATCCGATATTATAGATATAGGTGAAAGTTTATTGCATGAATAGAGACTTGGAAGATGATAAGCTTTTACTGTTGTGCAGCTCCTTCGTCACCATACCACGGTCTCGTTGAACACAGACAATAGTGATTTCGTCTTTACAGTAAGAGTATTATCTACCTTCATTTTGCTTGTTATCTTTCTCTGGTTACATGCAGGCACTTTACCGCATATTTCAAGTCATTGTTAAATATTTTTCAGGGCTAACCAAGCAAGATTCTCCATTATCATTGTTTAGCACTGAATTGGTCCATGCACAAAGTCTAGCAATTTCCCAGTTAAATTTTGGCATCTCGTGTCTCACGTGTAACAGATCGAATCCTGTCATTGCTTCAGATACCTTGGTGCGTTATGACAGACGGAGATGAAAATAGCATAATAAATTTTTAAATTAAATAACTACGTGGGATGAATTTAAAAATAAAAATTTTTTTGCAAAGGATTATCAGGTTTCTTTGACGGTCAAAGGAAAAGCGAAATAAGTACAAGTTGTCGCTTTCTTTACACTTTTGTTTCTGGCATCCTTTTCATAAAGTTAATGGTTAGGCGTTGATCTTCATTTCCAAGTCCTTAGTCATGAAAGCTTTATTTTTCTAAAGGCAGTGTGA